GAGTGAGTGAGTGAGTGAGTGAGTGAGTGAATGGAGGGAAAGGAATTGAAACTGAGCGAGCAAGACTTTTGATCTTACTTTTGAAAACGGAACGAGAAAGGAACAAAAATGAAGGGGAAACGGTGGGAAATCGTCGCTTAATCGTTGTCCTCTTCAATCTGTATTAATATTTTATTATTATTATTATTTTCTTTCTTTATCATTCTTAAATTAAATTTGAAGGGCCAAAAATTCGATGATTATTGGCCTGGTTTAACGAGTTAAATTTTGTTTATATTTATAAAAGGCTCTTTTAAACGTTTGACGTCACTATTAAATGCTGCATTTGCAAAATAACGTTAGCGTATGAGTTTTCATTGGAAAGTACAAACAATCGTGTAGACTCGCCTAATGACTTATCGGTCGGCTTAGCGTCGTAAATCGATTGTTTACATAATTATAATGTAAAATTCTACATACTTTTCGTCGACGCGATCTGGCTAGTCATCGCTTTAATGTTGTTGAGCAGTTTTTCCACGCGTAAATTGTGCTTAGAATGTCTATAATTAGCTTTGTTTCGTTCGTCCCAATCTACAAAAGAATTCCTCACGGATTATTGCACCCAGATTTTAAAGACTGCCGAGTATTAAAATAAATCTTGGCTTGCTCTGTTAATTTTCCATGGTTTTTAGATGCCAATGATAGTGGGGTTACCACGGGAAGGGGGTACAAAAAAAAACCCCAAAAGAAAGAAAAAAAACTAAGTTATATCCACACACGCGCGGTCTAGATGAATCATGTAAGTGGTTTCTGACATCCGTGATATTTGACGTTAAACAGCCCGTAAGCAATTCCGGTTTAATTTTCTCCTTTAGCCAATATCCATAAAGTAAATTAAATAATGAGTCGCTAGCGACTACGTCATCGGCATAAAAAAGATGTACGTTATTTCGCAGGGAATGAGGAATTTTATAGTTCGCTGGTAATGCTCTTAGCTATTGAGTGCGCTACTCAATGATCGAAAATGCAAGATCGAAGGCTTTTGCTCTCCATATTTAAACGATTTCCTCGAGCGATAATTCGGCCACTTACGAGTGACATAATTTCCTCAAATTCGCTTGTCACCCCTAACCTCCCCACTAACCACCCCACCATCCATCCCCTATTACATTCGAGAATCTGCGGCAGCGATCACAGAAGAATCTCAGTTTAGATATAAGAGGTTTTTTTTTCCTCATTGGACCATCGGCCGTCATCCCCTTCATCCGCCGTCCAACCAGCCGCCGGCTTTCGGGAAAGCCAACTAGTTGACGCAATTTTCTTGGATAAACAGCGTTTGGGGACGGCTTCACATATGAAATACCGAGCCGTGGGTAATTCGAAAAGCGTCGCGAGCTTGAAGGGAGTGCGGAATCCCGATTAAATCGACTTAGGAGGGAACATCGGCGGCGGTGATGCCGTGGCGAGACAGACGCCGCGCTGCTTCTGTGCGTTTCAGCCCCGTAAGCCTTTGGCTTTGTTCTCGGTTGCGTATTGCCTATCAACCAGCCGTAACTCCGCCCCCGTCAGCCCCTTCGTACGCCGTCCGACGTAATACGAGCGCTACACGGCTCTTTTGGGGACAAAAAAAGGAATTTATTCTCCTTTTTCTTCTTTACTCTTTTCTTTCTTTTTACGATGCTTACGATGCTTTATACTTTATACACGTGGGAGTGCCGATCCGAGGCTTTGCAAATTTATTTAGGATAATGTAAGAGAAGAGCTCGCGACGTTTCACTCGTTAGTGTTCTTTTGCCGACGAAACTAGCTGTTTACGATTACCTGAATTTTGTCCTTAATTTGAAGAGGCCTGCCCCCGTCGAAAGCCCATTTACTCGAGACGATTGCGCGATTGGAGCGAGTAGGATATGCTATGTCTTTAATCTCGCGATAAGATTATTTTACGCCGACTTGACTGCCGCGCTGTTTATTTGCAATTTTACAGTTGTAAACGGCGTGGTTTACAAATTATGCGCGTTGAATTTAAGATGCACGCGGGAAAGTTGCAGAAAGCAAAGCTTAAAATATTTCACTAAATTGGCAAAATTAATTTAACTTTTGCTCACAAATTGATTAACTGGTTAGCATATTTAGTGTCCCTATCAAAAGTTCGTAGAGTTGTATTAGTAATGAAGTGGTCGTGTAACTTTTGCGATACGTAAGAAAATTTCTATTTCAATTATTGTATCAAGAACGATAATATTTCATCGTAGTTTTTAATATTGCATTGCAAATTTCGTCAAAACAAAACAAACAAACCGAAAGAAAAAAACGTGAAAAAAAAATTCAAATAATTAAAAGCGTACAATAAACGTGTCAACATCCTCTACACATCCAAAGTGTACTTGTAAAGGTTTGTGCATTTAGTAAAATACAATAGTCTAGCAAACTTTTGCCATTTGACAATAAATGATCGATAAGCTAAGAATGTATCATGAAAATAGGAAATTGTATGAACTAACAGGACAATAGCATAAACTAACAGGACATAATTTGTTTTAGTTTCAGGTACGTGCTTGGCAGAAATCCAGTTTTAAAATTACCGAGTTCGATAAGTATCCTTAGAGTTATTTAAACCGTCGTATTTCATAGACAAACATTGGAATATATTGATATTTGATTAGGACAAACGAACGAGCTTATATTTATATTTTATCGTGTAAAAACGCTCTTGAGTTCATCTTCGCGCAACTCGCGACAAAAGTGCTCTACTTTTTCCAAAGGCATCGACGAGCGTAGGAATAATCATAATGGCGATCATTGCTCCGCTTCTTCGTACCATTTACTACAAATAGGAAAACTCGCGCCGAGCTCCGCGGTGTGCACATGTCATAACGATTTCGGCGAATGAACGATTGGACGAATCAATCGTAGCGCAACGGAGATCGAGGACCTCGTGAAAATAAAAAATACCATAGGAAAACAAGAAGAGCGAAGCGTGGAAATAAAAGGAGACACGGAGCGGGAAGTGTATACCGCGAATACAAGCAAGATAACGAAGAGAAATGGAAATTCGACAAAGTTTCCCGAGCGTAACCAGTGAGTAAGATCCCCGGCAACAAATCGATTTGTTACCAAGTTAATTCATTTCTCATCAAAGGGAATTCCCGGAGTCCCGCGTCTACGAGTACAAAAGTGCCCCGGGGTTAGGAAAAAAGGCGCCAGAGAAATCGCTCCGCGATGAATACAAAACCCGAAAGACAATGGGATTACTCCCACCCGGAGCACCCGATCTCCGGAGGTGGAAGTTCCTCTCGCGGATAAGAAAAGTCCCCCGGATCGACTTTCTATTAAAAACATTAAATATTTCAATATGGAAAACTGGCGGTTGGTACGGCGGCGGCGGCGGCCGCGCGTAGAGCGGAAAAGCGGCTTACGGCTTTAAGCCCGCTGTGATTGAACTATTTACGTCGGGCGTCTCGCGCGCGAACCTAAACGTAATCCTCCCGCCCTCCCTGCCCCTCGCGAATGCATTTTCTTGTGATGGGGGGACACCGGGTAGCGAGTTGGCGCGCGCGCGCGGCAAGAGCGGCAGTCGGGAATAGAGGCGGAGGCAAAACACCCTTGTATTTTTCGCTAAAGACGGGCCGCCCGCCCGGCCATTGAGAGATTTACGATCGAGACTCTTTACGCCGCGTACACGTACTGCTTAGGTGTATTGTTTCCGGGGTGCGTTATACCTAGTTGGGTTTTATCCATTTTTATCGAGAGGTTGGGCGGTGGCGGGGAGGTGAGGTGGGATATGGGGCGAGGAGGATGAATGCCGACTGTGTCACTCCTTATCGCGGATGGTTATCTCCGTAATGCAGCTGCTTGTGTCTTTTTGACCTTCGAGTGTAGTAGAATTTGTCGAAGCTCTGCCACTTCATCCCCCTTACAATTTTAGGCTTTTTCGCTTTTGTACGCTAGCTTGTGGCTTATTTGGCAAGGTGAACAAATTTATAGCCCAAGCTTTTTTTACTTGGAAATCTTTCCTCTTGGGTAGAAGATAGTCGAGAGCCTGACGCAACCAACGCCTTAACGATGCCGACTTATGCTTTTCAATTTCTCTGATAGGAAGAATTGGTCCATGTACCAAGGCATTGTATGCTGCATTATGACTTATATATCTTAAGCGAACGCTTGACTGTTTGTACCCAGTAGTTCTGTAATCTAGATAGCTCGAATGCCATTTCTCCTGAAAGTTTATTATAAAGTGGTTATTTAAAACAATGCGCGTACTTCACCTCGGATTTAGTACCATTTCATTACAATACTTTATTTCAAGTACTAGCTAATGTTACCTTGGAAACGCTGTAGCAGCAGCAGCAGTAGCAGCAGTGTTACGTTTTTTACTTTGAATATTTCATTACTCGTCTATGTAGCAAAAAACAAACTTTTAAAGTACATGCCGTAAATTCTACTTAAACTAACTTTACTTTACGAACAAGCTCATACGTTTACTATTAATAATTCATAGCAATACAATATTTTTTTTCCTTTATATTTCTCAAACTCTTTTACGCTAAATCCTCGTATCTAAACCTCAAAAAATAATGCGAAAGATACCCCCCCCCCCCCCCCTATCTCATCTCTCTCTCTCTCTCTCTCTATCTCATCTCTCTCTATCTCTCATCTCTCTTTCATCTCTCTCTCTCTCTCTCTCTCTCTCTCTCTCTCATCTCTCATCTCTCTCGTTCTGTCGGTAGTATGTAAATGGCTTGGTAGAAATTTTGCAGAAAGAAATTTATATGAGCAAGTGTAAATGTCCGAATTTGTTATTGAAACGGGGGGGGGGGGGATGGTAACGCAAAGTATCGATTAATCTTTTGTATCGTTGTGAATTGAAGGAAAAACTTCCAAGATCTCTTTATCTTTCAATCTCTTGCTTAACGCAACGCACACGTAATTCGAATGCAAATTAACTCCCCAACCATCTGTATTATATGTTTATCGGCGCACTACAGTCATACGCACTTGTCTTGAAAGTATTTAGCGACGAGAAATAATATAGCAGTGAAAGCCAATAGAGCGTCAAATGGCGGGGACTTTCCAAGTTGTTTCGAGTCAATTGTCCCGAGCGAGACGTTTCAATGCGCAACCTTCACCATTTAAGTTGCAACTTTTTTTTTCTTATCCCTCGGTCAGTCGGGCGAGCTCTTGTCAAAGGCAAACAGCCGAACGCGCCCCATCTGAATGTCCATTACTCAGGCCGCAAGATTGTTATCGGTCGGGCACGCGACTCCAAAGTCCACCGATGACGCTCACGATTGCCCCGCCAGTCGGTCAGTCGGTGCGCAAAAAGGTGGGGTATGAGGGCTCATGACGTGTCCCGCCGTCTGCCCATCTCCATCTCGCTCCAACTCCTCACTACCACGTCTCCTCCCTCGTTCCCGTGAAATTGGGAAAATGTATCGAGCCATCGAGCCGAGGGGCTTGGCGACGCGAACGTCTCGGTGGGGGTAGGGGAGTAGTTGCTTCCTTCGAGGGTGAAATCTCTAAAGTTGGAACGTATGCTTTGAAGGTGGCACTGTTGTGAAAATAGAGCTCTGGACGGATTTATTTTTAATTGTCATGGATAGACGCCCGCGGTGCTATTTATAAACGTACCCAATGTTTTTTTCTTGTTGCCTTCATTTACGAGGAATTTGAGATTAGTTTGCATTAGTGTGCGCGTGTGCGTGTGCGTGCCTTTTGAAAGCGCACCGAACGAACGTCTTTGAAGAGCTCATTCTTTATCCTGCAAAGTACAAATAAAAGTTATCCTGATGTTGAACGTATTACGTGAGACGATGTTTACAATAAATGCCCAATAATACAGTACATTTACAATTGAATAAAAGAGCTGGTCTTTCGCAACCATCAATGCTACTTTATCATGTTTAAAGAGTATCAAATTTGGAATGTTGAAGTATAATATACATTAGTGCGTGCGTACAAGTGGTATTATTATTAATATGCAAGCGTAATGTAGTTATTTAAAGGTAATTTGCATAATTATATAAAATGTATGAAATTATTTTCAAAAATTGTGAACAATATCGCTGAATTATCCAGCAAAATTTATCTGGCCCCAGCTGAATATTAGAAAAGTAAATTTCTAAAGTAGAAAAAGCGTCTTTCCAAGCCGTATTGAGTAGTAAACCCTTGTAAATTTGATCGACAGAAACAGAGACACTTTTATGGGACTCTGGTGTAGCTAGAAAAACTTTCTTGCACTCAGTCGCTAGTCACTTGGGCATATATTCCAAGTTCCCTCGTGAACCCTTGGATCGTATGGAGACATTTGATGTCCCTTTTCACCTTCTCCTCCTCCTCCTCCTCCCCCTCCTCCCTCACCATCGCCCTTCGCCGTATCCCAACCCCACCCCACCCCGTCCCTCCTCTATATCCACGTAGGAGCTTGGAAACGCGCGTCCGCGCTCGCTAATAAGTATTCATGCTCTTATTTGTGCGCGCGCTCGGAGAAAAATATTTTTATTGCAAATGAATTCGTGAATTCGCAATAGTCGTCGTCGTCGTCGTCGTCGTCGTCGTCGTCGTCGTCGTCGTCGTCGCCTCATGTTTTATTCTCGATCGTTTTTCACCTAATTTGCCGCCACGGTTTGTGGCACCCGCTCACTTAGTCGACGGGATGGACATTCGCCAAGCCTTTGAACGAAATTGTTAAAAGCCCGGGCAATGCAATGGCCCAGCAATCATCAACGATCGCTTAGTCGATTTCAGCGAGACAGGAAATGTCCGAGTTTCGCGGCTAATCCCATAGACATACCCGCTCACATCTCACCCAACCCCATCAGCCAGGTCGGTGCGCGCGCGGCAACGGCGGCCACTGTGCGTCTCTGTGTGACTGAGGAGTAGGGGGTTGCGGTGGTGTACGTCTCCGATCGCCGCCCTCGTTTTTACAACAATGGCCGGCAAACCGCGCATTTCCATCCCGTGATCCCCGAGGCGTAAGCGCAAGAATGAGGAAACGCGGAATTGCGGATGCGGGCTAAAGATCCAGCGAGTCCGTGGCGCTTCGGACGGTCCTGAAGCGGCTGCCGGAATTGGATGGAGCGGGATGGGAGGAGGGTGGCGAGCGAGGTGAGGCGACTGCTTTCCGTCTGGGCTCTCGCCGGATATCGGCCGATGTTCCCCCGAAGCGTGAGCAAGAGGTAGTCCCATTGTTCCCCGGTGGAACAAGGCTCGAGCGCCGGCTGGTTGACAGAGAGCAGCAGCAGCAGCAGCAGTAGCAGCCCAGTGGCGAAACCGAGAGCCCCAGGCCGCCGTCGGCTTTGAAGCTCCGCTCTCGCGAAATAGGAACAGCCGAGCGCACGCCCCGATGCACGCGATCACACCCTCGCGCAACCAACCCAACCACCCACCCGCCCACTGCTACATCGCGCGCATGTATGGATTTCCCCAGACGCGGCGGCGGTGGCCATTGTTCGGCTCGTCGAGACGAGAGCGCGCGCACGCACACATTCGATGTTCGCGCGCTCACAGGTGGCTGGCTTATCTTTTCTTTGTCTCCTATCTTTTGCTTC